GCAAACACACATGGTGACATGTGCACCCTCAAGCTGGCCTTAGTGGTGCATGCCTTATAATCCTAGCCCTCAGAAGACTGAGGTAGGAGGATTGCTTTGACTTTGAGGCCAGCCTGGGCTACATAGTGAGTTCAAATCCAGCCTAAACTACATAGTGAGAACCTGTGTCAAAGGAAACAACCATACCAAAAAACCCCATATGCAACCTTGAGTTACTCTCTGCAAATACACAGGCACATTCCATCACATACATATCTAAGAAAGCACACAAACAGAACCACAAGATTCAAAGATCTAGATCATCCTACAAATAGACTTGGTCAAAAGCAATTGCATAATAGCACTCAGAAGGTGGCAACCATTCACATACTGGGACAGCACACAGGTAGCATTACATACAGCTACCCATCAGGCACATTCATGCTTTCTTTGACTGCCTTCTCTATGTGAGCTTCTACTAGATGCCTGTTCATGTTCACTCATGAACACCAATACAGCTAACTGTGTTGATGATCACACAATGACATCCTTGTGCACAACCTTAAGGTCCTACAGCCTGCACCTTCATGCATATGACTATACACGCATAGGCCTATGATGGATCACAGCAAAGAGGTGCCAACCTAGAGGGGCAATCCACATCTACACCACTGTGTAGTGATGGCACTGTACAATCACAGCCTCACAAACAGCACATGCTCACATACTCACACATAGAACTCATGCACACAGTCACACACAGGAAGCCAAAGCTACACACTTTGATACCTGGCCCCTTGTCCCCAAATGTCCTCTCTTCCCTCCCCACATCACAGGCAGGAACAGCACCAGGGTCCAGGTCTGGTTTGCTAGGTATGGAGGGGTTGGAGGAGGGAGTGATTTTCCACATTTACAGGGCTTGGGGCCTTGGGAGGACCTTAGCTTCTCCTCAGAGGCAACACTCCCTGTGCTCTGACCTTCCCTGGAACAGGAGGCAGCTCAGCTCTGGGACTCATTATACTTCCTCTCTAAGGCCTGATTTGATGGGCATATGGGATGGTTGGTGCCACCTCCAACTGGAGGAACATTAAGGTGCCCTATGCATGACAAAGCTGCTGCTCCTCAGTCCCTGTCTTGTGAAGGCGAGAGAAATGGGTCAGGCTGATCTCTGAACTCCAAGCAGGGTGACCAGGGACCTCAGGGTTTATAGCAGTAGCTTCTAGGGCTAGCTGTCTTGCCTCCACTGTAGTGGGTTCTGTACGAAGTACTAAGAGAGTGGGAGGAATTGTGCCTTTGGAAACTCTGTGTGTGTGTGTGTGTGTGTGTATGAAATTGTATGCCTAGGTGTGGACAGGTTGTTTCCCTGGGCATCCATGTGTGTCCAGGAATTGGAAAGTGTGAGTGTGCAGCGTGCAGCTGCTTCTGTGTCCATGGGGGTGGCCATTCCTATGAGATGAGAGTGTTTCTTGGTGTATGAACATTTGCCATAGGAGACTGGAGGTGTGGTGACGGTGTGTTTCTTCGTGCATTTGTGTTATGAGGAAATTATGCCTACATGTAGCATTCCAGGTGGGGATGGCTTTGCATGATACAGTGTCAGAAAGATTTTGAACATATGAACTTTCAGGGATTCCCCATTGTCTATTGAAGACAGTCCAATTCCCCTACCTAATATCCAGGCCATGAGGTGTCCTTCTCTTTCCCAGATTTTTAAACTTCCCTCTACTTCTTTCCCAATACACTCTTCGCAGGCCAGTTAAATTGTTCTCAGAATCTTATGCACACCTGGGCTTATTTTATCTCCATGCCTTTGTGTATACTTGCTCCCGCCCCAGCAGAATGTCCTTTCCTTCAGTGCCCATCCATGTTGCTGGGCCCACCTCATTTGGTAGAGCAAAGCTCCAAACAAGTGCCTCAGCCTTTCCCACCCCACACTTGCTCCTATCTTCACACCTATCTTAGGAAGTGGTGTGGAAAGAAAGGGAAAAACTGTCAGAATTTGAGGAGCTCTGCTGAGTATCTTGCTTTAGGCTCTTCCTTTATTCTCCAGAATGGGCTCTGTTACTGCCTTCCAATTCCTCACCCTTCTCTCTTGTTTCTTTTCTTATTAAACAGGCTTAGTGTAACAGCCTGCAACTTACTCTTTCCTGTACTTGATCTCTAGGGTTTATGTAATTATTCTATCAGGGTGCTGCACTCATGCTAAACACATAGAAGGACCCAAGCACATCTTACAGGGTCAAGACAATGGAAAGCATCGTATTTTTACAGAAACTTTGTCCCTGGTCATGATGGGTGCTGTGTGTGTCAAGAGAGCTCAAGAACTAACAATAAGAAGAGAATATCATAGAGGAGATTTTAAAAGTATAAATATCATCAAATTAGGAGCAAACTTTATATTCACAGCCTCGTGCTTGCCAACTCTTCTGATAATGCCTGCAGCCAAACTAAGGCTTTGTTATGGCATGTGGGTTGCTATGATGATAGGAGGGAGGTAAGAGGAGTTGGGAAACGGGAAAAGAACTATAAAATCCTGTGAGGGGAGGGGAGGTTTCAACTTATTTATGCCTTTGTCCAAATGTGCTGGTTGGGATATTTGTACGTCTGCCCTCAAGATAGCACTTCATCAGGAAATAGGGTGACCAACCATTGTGTTTTGCCCAGACCTGAGTGTGATTTTTTTATTTTTTTTTTCTTGGTTTTTTGAGGCAGAGTCTCCCTTTGTAGTTCAGGCTGGCCCTGAACTCACTATGTAGCCCTGGCTGGCCTCAAACTTGCAACAATCCTCCTGCCTCAGCCTCCGGAATGCTGGGATTACAGGCATGAGCCACCACACCTGGCCTGAGTGTGATCTTTGGATATGAGATTTAGAGTTTAAAACTGGGACAGTTCTGAAAAAATGGAGATAAATTGTCAGGAAATCTATGAAGTTCTGTAAGATTTGGGGGGTGTCTTATCCACATCCTTCAAATCTCCATTAGCCTGGGATCTCCAAGAAAGTTCTAGTTACTGATTGGGAGGGTCCTGGTTCTGGTAACAAGGGCATCACTTTCTCAGAATGCCAAACCAAAGCCTCAGTTTTCCTGTGGTCTAAGTGGCTGATTTCTCTTGAACAGAAGTATGAAGGGGGAAGGTTAGTGCCTAGCTGGGGTCCAAGGAAGAGGCTCCACGGGGAACCTTTTGACAATCACAGTGAAGCATTGTTTGAGTCCCACACTTCATCACCTACATCCTGCCCTCAGCCATAAAAAAGGAACTGGAAGGGGATGAGGCAGGAGCTGATTTTTGGTATTGGCTATGCTCCACTCTTTGGAAGCTCCTGCCCCATGACTCCCAGAGCACACTCCTGTCCTATTCCTTCATGGAGGGGATTCCTAAGCAGGCATAATGCTCTGGGCCTTGCCCATGTGACACTGAATCAAGATGACAAAGGAAGTCCGTAAAAATTGTGAGCTCTAGGTGAATGAGCACTGGAGCCCATTGTTACTAGAGCAAGACTTGGAGCACTGCAGTTATAGTTGCCTAAGAGATCAGGGTTATGGCATTGCCTTTTCTAACCCCAGGCTTTCCTCTGAATGTTGTAATCATAACACAAAACAGTCGTGATATTAACCCTACCCAATCATATGTTAATTTGAGCAAGCTCATAACTCCAAATGAAATTTAACTAAATCCACCAATGGCCCCTATTCTTGGGGCTTAAGAAACATTAATCATTACCTATAACCCTAAGTCTTAAAGTAACCCCAAACATGTCAGTTTGATGCCTAAAATCTTGTGCGTAACTTATCTTGTTCCAAATTCAGCCTAACTGTAGTAACTAGACTGTGACTTAAAATTATCACAGCCTTTAACCACATACCAACATAATTTACATCTAAAAAACCCCCAAAACCAAAAAACAACAACAAAACATAATTTATATCTAATATGAACTCAACTCTAACTCAAATTTAATCTAGCAATGCAAATGAAGCCAGAATACCAATCTTCATTAGCCCATTCTAACATTAACCCTAAAATATTTCTAACAAGTCTCAAGTTATCCAAACTCTGCCTCCAAAATTTATATCAACTACTAATAAAAATCAATCCAAATCATAATATTTTCATAATTTTGATTAAATCCTAAATTTTTAAAATAAAAATTAATTTTATTGGTACATTTTAGGTATACAATATAATGACATTCATCATTGGAAATTTGCACCTTTACATAATCTCTCTTGGTTCTTAGATTAAATCCTAAATTGCTTGATTGTTTCATAATTATACTTAAGCCCCAATTTTACCATTCCCTACTCTTTGCCATAACCTGGACGCTAATCCTAACCCTCTTGTAACCATAATCATAGTTCAAACCCTTTCCTCATCTCCATCATACGTCTGGAGTAGTCTAATCCTGGCCAAATCCAAACCCAGCTTCTGGGATTTTAGGAATGAGCTTATGTGTGTTCTGGTGCTGTGAGCCATTTTCCTGAGATAGGAGGGACAGAGGATACAAGGGCAGGATGTTTGCCTCGTCAATCAGTCCCACTCATACCAGAGTGGCTTCTTAAGATTCTGTCTTGCAGTCAAGGAGAGCAAAGGGCACACTCACTGGCCAGGAAGAAACTTAAAAGGGGAGGAATCTAGGGATATGAGGACCCTACTACATGGCTCTCACTTGTTTCTGGGCATTAGTCTCTTACAAGCATGGGTGGTAAATAAACCTATGTTACCTCAACTGGTAACATCTAGGAACTTTTATGTTTGGACCAAGGAATTGGAGACAGCTCTATAACAACATTATCTGGTCCTTATCCTGGCTCTAGGTTTAGCCCTAGAATTCCTCTAGGTTTCTGCTTTCCCCTTGCTTTCATTTCTGCCCCTTATAGTCCCTTACATAACAAGAGACATCCAAGTCAGAGGAATCTCTATTTTTGTCCACAGCGAAGGAACAGAGCGTCCTTATCTTTGCACAGTTAGACCTACCCAGCCTCCTGGGCCCAATCCCCTGTGCCCTGCCCTGGACAGCAGAATCATCTCCACGTCCGCTGGAGTGCATCCTTGACCTCCTGGTTTCGGAGGCTGTAGATGAGTGGGTTGAGAGCCGGAATGACCAGGGTATAGAATACAGATGCCATCTTGTCGGTGTCCAGGGCATAGCTGGAGCTGGGACGCAGGTACATGAAGATGAGTGTCCCATATAGCATGGTTACAGCTGTGAGGTGGGAACCACAGGTAGAGGCTGCCCGCCGACGGCCCTCAGCAGAGCGCATGCGGATCACAGTTCCAGCGATGAAACCATAAGACACAGCAATAGCTGACACTGTTGCTGTCTGGATGAAGCCACAGACTGCAAAGAGGAGGAGCTCGTTGAGACTGGTGTCATTGCATGAGATGGCCAGCAGTGGTGGGATATCACAGAAGAAGCTGTTGACTTCCCAAGAGCGGCAGAAACTCAGGCGGAAGGTGAAAGTTGTGTGGACAAAGGCACTCACTACCCCTCCTAGGCCTGATGCTCCCAGCAGGGCCAGACATAGACCCCTCGACATGACTGTTGTATAGAGAAGGGGGTTTCCAATGGCCACATAGCGGTCATAGGCCATGGCTGCCAACAGGCAACACTCGGCATCAGCCAGTCCTGCAAAGACAAACATCTGGAGGGCACAGGCAGTGTAAGAGATGGTGGCATGGGGCTGCAGCAAGTCCACCAGCATCTTGGGACTGATGTCCGAGGAATAGCAGGCATCCAGCAGGGAGAGGCTGGCTAGGAAGAAGTACATGGGCGTGTGGAGTCTGGCATCCACACAGATCAGCAGCACCATGCCCATGTTTCCCAGCAGGCTCACCAGGTAGACTGGAAGGAAGATCAAGAAGAGTGTCACACGCAGGTCCCAGCGGTTTGTGATGCCCAGGAGGACAAATTCAGCAGGGGCAACCCTGGCCCAAGTGAAGTTCTGTGGATTCATCCTACTGGAGAGAAACTGAAGAAAGGCAAAGCAAGAGGGAGATGAGAGAAAAGCCATGGCCCCCAAGGAGGAGGGACAACACTGAGACCTGGGAGTCAGGTAGACTTGGGCTTCAGTCCTCACTGTGACAAAATTGCTGTGACCTTGGACAAATAACATAGTCTCCATTTCTAATGCTGAGATGTCACTGTGATTTCATGTTCACAAAGACAAGGATCTTGTCTGTCTTACTTGTTCTTGGTTTTTTTTTTTTTAGTAATGGGGATCAAACTCCGGACCTTGTGCTTGCTAGGCAGGCATGGTGCCACTGAGCTAAATCCCTGGCTCCATGTCTCACTTGTTTTTGTCTCCACAGTACTGAGAACATTGTGTGGCACATAGCAGGTGCTCAAAAATATTTGTTAAATGAGTGAATGACAATGGGATGATATTAAGGGTTGAATGGTTTATGACTCTCTATATTCCCTCTCCAGTTTTCCAGGGAGGAAAAGAGACAATGTAATGGTCAGCAATGGTCTCCTGATTCAACAGGTCTTGAAGGTAATTACGGGCCTTGAAATTTGCTGAGAAGGGCGTCTTTCCATTGGAGTAAGATCTGGGAAAAGAGTGGCCTGGTACGCTGGGGAGACAGTGAGGTGTGGAAAGAATAAAGCATGTGAACATATGCCAGGGCTGATTTGTTACCTCTCTGAACCTTAATTTTCTCATCTGTATAATGGGTGGGGAGTTGCAAGGATTTAGTGAGATGATGCACATAAAGTGTCTCACACAGGGCCTGCCGCTGAACAGGCATTTAATGAAGATCCAATGAGTTGAACTGAAGTGAGCTGGATGCTTTGGCTCAATCTTGGAAGAAAGCAACTTTACGGCAAACAGAAGTAGTGTAATTCCACAAAAGTGCAATTTTGCTTCATACCTTTGTGCCTTTGTACTTGTGTGTTATTTTAAACTTGAACACATTACTTCTTTTTCCCCCATTGTTCTTTAGTTTTATTATTTTTCAATTTTCCCAACATATGAATTACCTAAGTTACCTCATTTTGGGATTTTTTTTCAGTGCATTCCACAGCAAAAATAAAAAAGGAATCATTAAATGATTGTGCACAAACCAATTCTTTTTCTTATAATTTACAATTTATTGAAAAAATTATTGTTTTGTTGTTTTCATCCTGCTAAACCCTCAGGCAGAGCACAATTTATCAGCACATGCCTGTTCTTCTTCTTCTTCTTTTTTTTTTTGTACTAGGGATTGAACTCGAGACCTTGCGCTTGTGAGGCAGGTGGCAGAACCACTGAGCTAGATCCCTGGCCCCTGTTCTTCTTTTTTGTGTTTGACAAAAACTATCTCCAGTGGGAAGCCTTCTCTGATCTACCCAAAGGAAGCTAAAATTCTCCCTTGTCTATGCCTTGCTTGACTAAATCAGCACTGGAGATACGTCATAGCATAGCACCATTCTACAACACATACGTGTGCTGGGCATTAAATCAGAGACTCACACATGCTAAACCTAAACTCTACCACTGAGCCATACCTTCAGCCATGTTTACATGCTCATGCTTGAACCAGAGCCTCATACATGCTAGGTAAGTGCTTGGCCACTGAGCTACATTCCCAACCCCACCTGTTGCAAATATTTCTGACTGGTCTGTCTCTTCTGTGGGCTTTGAGCTCCTTGATTCAATATTCAGTCAACATGTTTACTGAGTATTATTATATGGTAAAAATGGGCCTGTAATTTATTTTTGTATCTTCAGGGTCTGGTATACAATCAGTCCTAAATAAATGTTAGTTGAATGCATGAAACAATGAAAAGTGTGTGGATATTAGCAGCATACCGGCTTGGTTTTGAGCCCAAGTTCCACTACTTCATGTTGTGTGACTCTGAACAAGTCGCTTCATCTGCCCTATCTCTTCCAGAGGGTTCTGATAGGCAGTGGGTATACAGCAAAGGCCCTGGAGCTGAGTGAAGACTCTTTTCTTTCCCTTTAAGAAGAATTTGGATATTTAGGACCTACCTGTGTCTGGTGAGGATGATGAAGGTCTTCCTACAATGAACAGCTTGGATAAAATATTTTGAAGATATTACATATTGATGAAGTCATACTTGTGGAAATAGAAATTGAGACATTTCCCATAACTGTCTTCCCCAGTTTCTTCATTTGCTTGAGTTGGTATCCTTGTTGCTGTATTTTCATATGGTGGGGAGAAAGAGAGAGAGAGAGAAGAGAGAGGAGAGGGAGAGAGAGAGAGAGAGAGGGGAGGGAAGCTCTTTGGTCACTTTATAAAGGCACTAATCTCATCATGAGGGCTCCACCCTCAAGACTGTATTTAACCCTAATACACTTTCAAAGGCCTCACCTCTGAATACTGTCACATTATGGGGCAGAATTTCAACATGAAATTTTAGGCAATGCAAACATTCATTCAGCCCATAGCATGCAATTATTCCACTCCTTGGTGTTTATTTTTGAAAACTGTCACATGTGTACACAAGGAGACATGCAGTGCTGGACTATTTATAATGACCAAACGTTAGGCTCATGAGGGCTAAACGGGTGGAGTCAACCTATATGTACGAATAGGGATAGAGCTCAAAACCACGCTGAGATAAAATAGCTTGCAGAAAAAAATATACATTGATAAGAAAAAGCACAAGACAATAATATATTTAAAAATGCATATAAAAATTCTGCTGGTTGCTGCAAACAGTCATGGGGTTCTAGCTGAAGGATCCCAGGGCATCTCAGTGGATTTTACCACATTTGCCCCTCCTTATGTCCAGGGCTGATATTTCTTATTTTACTTATTTATTTTTTGTGGTGCTGGGGATGAACTCAAGGCCTCATGTGTCCTAGATAAGCTCTCTACCACTGAGCTACCGCTCAAGCCCATCCTTTCTATCTTTTAAGACTCAGATCAGGGGTCATTTTTCCTGGGAATCTCTATGTGAACATCTAACCACTCAGTCTTTCATGCTGGAATTCATTGAGCTCTCCGTATCATAGCCTTAGTCCTTTAAAAACTATGTTTAATTGATAAATAATAATTATGTATATTTATAGGATACAAAGTGATGTATCTATGTATCTATCCGTCTATCTATCTCTATCTAATGTTAGTAGGATTAAAGCAAGTGAATTAACACAGCCATTACCTCATCAACTTATTTTTGTGGTAAGAACATTAAAAATCTATTTTTGGCAACTTTGAAATATACAATACATTATTTTAAATTGTAGTCACTAAGCAGAATAGGCTGATCTCAGAAACAGAGAGTAAGGTGGTTACTAGAAGGTGCCGATTACTAGAAACTGGAAGGAGAGAGATGGGGAGAGGGGAGATTTTGGCTAAAGTGTACAAAGTTTCAGGCAGGAGGAAGAAGCTCTATTGCTCTCTATGATACTCAGTTGTGTTATATTTACTGTACCAAACTATTTGTCTCCCCTACCCACTTGAGCATTATGAGTTCAGGGACCATGTCTAATTCATCCTTCTATCCCTAGGGATACAGGGGTTTGGGGTTCTTCTTCGTGGGGTCACTAGTGAAAGTCACGTAGCTTCTAGGGGAGAAAGAGCAGTGGGCTTCCAGCTGGATCCAACTGCCTGTGTGTGTGTGTTTTATTTTTTGGTACCGGGGATTGAACTCTGGTCCTTGCGCTTGCGCAGCAGGTGGCAAAACCACTGAGCTAAATCCCTGGCTCCTGCCTGTGTCTGTGAATGAAGTCAGCAGTCTGGCTGAAGTTCTGCATGTAGGACCCGGTTGATGGTCAACTCCCTGTGTGATTTGGTCTATCAAATGGAAAGCAAACACCACTCACCTTTACAAAGGGAGGAGCAGAGCTGCTTCAAGTGGCTCTCCATTTCTCCATCTGTAAAATGTGGAAAGTAAGACTTCAAGGCTTTTAAGTTGCTTTTAATTTCTTAGTGCAAGGATCCTCAAACTTCAGGTAAGCAGCTTTTATGGAGTGTGTGCATTCATGCCTGACATTCTAGGGATGGTATGTGGAGTTCCACTTTCTACTTGTAGTTTCACTTGCCATGAAAATAGGACTCAGGCTTCCATAAGGAACAGCTTCTGAGGCTGCTTTCAGGTGCTAATCAGTGCTACAGAGGAAGCAGTAGATATCAAGTTTGTGAACTATTAGGCATCTGCTCCATTCAGCCTAGAATTGATTCTTGTTTTTTCTAATCATTCCGACTTTGCTGTTTTCATCTAAATACACATTTACTTTTCAGTTTTGGACTTAAAGCTTCTGAAGTCTATGTGTTCATTTATGTCTGAATGTATGTACAAACCTATTTATTCTAAGATTATAAAATACTTTCCCATGTTTTCTTCTAGGACTTTCACAGTTTCATTTTTTATGATTAAGTATTCAGGCTATTTTGAATTTACTGTAGTGCAAGCTGTAAAGCAAGGAATCAATATATTTCTTTTTCACCAAAAAAATTAAGCAGAAAGGGTAGGCAGAACTCAGAGTTCAACATCATGGTAAAGTTATGAGGCATAATCTCCCTTCAGCTGTAAGCTCTATCTTTTTTTTCCTCTGTTATTCCCAAGCAGATGTTCAGTACATTCTATTGGAAAGATGAAAGCAGTTTTCTAGATATGCTCACTGGAACTGGCTTAAGTCTTTTAGGTATTTACTTTTCAAAGGAACTTTAGTCCACTCCTCCTCTTCCTTAGGATCAGAGTGTCCAATCACCTCAGTTTGCCTAAAACTATCTCAGTTTTAGACTTGAGAACTGTGTCCCAAGAAACTCTTCAGTTCTGAGAAAACCAGGATGGTTGGTCCCCTACCTAAGATTATTTTTCCATTTCAGGAATGTGAGAAACATGATCCAGGGGAAGGCTGTGTGAGATTTGCTTCTCTAACTGAAGAAAGCTTTCACCTCCATGTGCTTCCTCTTCTCTTATAACATTTATTATTATTGAGAAGAGCCAGGCCCAGTTGGGGTCAACATGTTGGCTTCTACATTTCACTTCTCCTCCTGCTGC